GGGTTGGGATTGCAGCAGGGATGGGGTTGGGATTGCAGCAGGGATGGGGTTGGGATTACAGCGGGAATGGGGTTGGGATTGCAGCAGGAAATGAGTTGGGATTGCAGCAGGGATGGGGTTGGGATTGCAACCCAGATGCATCAAGGATTGCAATGCAGTTGGACCCAGGTTTGCATCCCTGGTGAGTCCAGGAATGGGACTGGGATTGCAGGAGGAATGGTGTTGGGATTGCAATCCATATGGATCAGGAATTGCAGTGAAAATGAGCCCAGGACTGCAATGTGGATGGACCCAGGTTTGCATCCCTGGTGGGTCCGGGATTACAACAGGAATGGAGTTGGGATTGCAACAGGGATGGGATTGGAAATACAACCCAGGTGGGGATTACAGCACAAACAGGTCCAAAGGTTCAACCCAGGTGGGTCCAGTTAGTTCTGGGATTGGAACCCAGATGAATCTGGGATTGCAATAGAAATTAGTTTGGGATTGGAACCCAAATAAAACAGGGATTACTACAGGAATGGATCTGGAATTGCATCCCAGAAGAGCCCAGGATTGCATTCCTGGGTTGCAATGCAGATATACCAGGAACTGCAGCGGAGATGGGTTTGGGGTTGCAGCCCAAATAAGTCTGGGACTGGAGCTCAGAACAGCCTGGGATTGCAGGCCAGTGGGCCTGGGATTGTGATGCATATGGATCCAAGAAATTGGATCCCAGAAGAGCTCAGGATTGTAACCCAAACAAGCCAGATAGAGCCAGGATTCCAACAGCCATGGATCTGGGATGACCAGGGCACTGCAGTTGCAGGAGCTGCTGCCTTGCGAGCAGCCTCATTACCCGGCTGTAATTAGCTGTCCTGGCTCCCATCATTCCCACTCCCGGTGCTGCAGGTCCCTCCTCCCTGATCCCAGTGCCAGGGAAGCATTAAAGGCTGCTGGAGCTGCCATGACATGCACTGAGTTGTCCGTTCTCTGCTCCCTCCCTGGGGTGGGATGATCATGATCTTCATTACCAGGAGGAAATTTCCCGGCTGCAATGGAATGGTTGCTGTGGAAACAGGGTGAGCAGCTAATTAGATTTAATTAACAAAGCAGGAGGGGGGTGTTACAAGCACATCTGGGCAGGAGGCATCACTGTCGGTGCTGAGGTGATGGTGGGGTGGAAAGATGGGAATGTGCCTCAGTTTCCCTGTCTGTAAGGTCAGGGAAGAGGGATATGGACAGGGATGGAGACCCCACGGATGCTGAGCGCCCCATCCCAGCAGGATGTACGTTCCTGCTCTCCCTTTTGCCTTTTTTGTTTTAAAAATTAAGGGTTTGGGACTTCCCTGTGTCAGTGCCTCCTTGTTTGCAGGGCTGGAGGCAGGACACAATATCCCAGGGCCTTTTGTAAGCATTTTAAGGTGTTTTCAAATCCCTGGGAATGCTCAAGACCCTCCTGGGTGGGGAAGAGCAAACTGATGGATTTGCAGCCTAATCCTAATTAAAAAAGAAAATAAGGTGGGAGAGTTCCCATCCTTCTTCAGGAGGCCAAGTAGGGTTGCATTTCCAATGCCAGAGGGAAAAACTGGGGTGAAAACCCTTCTCTGAGACCCTCATCCCAGTTTTGGGGTTCTGCAAGGCCAGGGAGGGGGATATTGATGGGCTGGAGATTCCAAGGATGCTGAGCACCCCATCCCAATAAGATCAGGGAGTGGGATATTGGTGGGGATGGAGACCCCAAGGATGCTGAGCCCCCTATCCCAGTTTTGGGGTTCTGCAAGGCCAGGGAGAGGGATGTTGATGGGGATGGAGATCCCAAGGATGCTCCACCCCAGCTTTGGGGTGCTGGAAAGGCCAGGGAGGGAGATATTGATGGGGATGGAGACCCCAAGGATGCTGAGCCCCCATCCCAGTAAGACCAGGGAGAGAGATATTGATGGGGATGGAGACCCCAAGGATGCTGAGCCCCCATCCCAGTAAGGTCCTGAAGGGGGATATTGATGGAGACCCCAGGGATGCTGAGCCCCCCATCCCAGCACCATCCGTGCATCCCCCCTTCCCAAGGAAGCATCATCTCCCCCCTCCACCCCAGCATGCTCCTTGGGCACAGCTTTGCCAGGAGCATCCCCGGCAGGATCCGGCCCTGCCCGCATCCGCGCGTGTCTGTGTGGGCACGGCTCTGCCTCCCTCTCCCGATCGCTCCCTCTGCCCGTGCCTCGGTAATTCCCGGGGCCGGGAACCCGGAGCCGCCACGGACGCAGGCGCACACCCCCCCTCCGTCTGCAGGAGGGCTTTTCTACATCCATATCTTTATATATTCCCGTCGATATAAATAGCTCCTCTCTCTCCCCTTTTCCCTGCGCGCCGCATCGCTCCGAGCGGACACCTGGGGGGGAGAGATAGGGAGGAACAGGGATCGTTTCTGTGCATTCCCTGGGCCGCGTGGGCCGGAGCGACCCCCGGGACCCGCATGCTGCAGATGGTGAGGACTCTGGCGCAGTTCACCATCGCGCTGGAGGACATGCGAGACATCGGCGACGGCGTGGACGCCGCCTTCGCCTCCGGCGGGATGAGCGGCGCGGCCGAGGAGCCGCCGG